ATGATGGATCCGAGCGATAGAGTGAGTATTAGCCTCTGTTTTTCTCGATTCCTTCTGATTTTTTAGGCTTTTCTCTCTGGTTTCTGATCGGTGGTTGATAATGATGCAGGGATCGGAATCGGAGGACATATCCGGCAAAAACTCCGGCGGGGTTTCGTCGGAGGAGAGCATAGTGAACGAGCAGAACAAGAAGACATGTGCGGACTGTGGCACTTCGAAAACCCCTTTATGGCGAGGCGGCCCGGCTGGTCCAAAGGTGATTTGATTGATTCATTGATTGATTGATCTGAACTCTAATGAACATATCTTCTTCGTTGATCCAAATCTCTGATATCTGTTTACATCTCTGTGATTTGGCAGTCTCTTTGCAATGCGTGTGGGATCAGAAGTAGGAAGAAGAGGAGGGCAATTTTAGGGTTGAATCGAGGGGTTGTTGAGGATAAGAAGAGCAAGAAAAGCAGTAGTAATAACATTAGCCATAGTAAGCTAAGAGATAGCTTGAAACAGAGACTATTGGCTTTGGGTAGAGAGGTTTTGATGCAGAGATCCAGTGTTGAGAGGCAACGGAAGAAGTTAGGTGAAGAAGAACAAGCGGCTGTGCTTTTGATGGCTCTCTCTTATGGCTCAGTTTATGCTTGAACCCGCCGCCATTGACAGAGCAATAAGAACACAAACAAAAAAACAGCAAAATCTGACCCAGAAAGTGTATCTTCTTCATCCATTTTGTTCAAATCTTTCCCAAAAATTGAGTGAAATCCTCTTAGTTCATTATTGTTCCTCCTCCTCTCAGATCTCTTCCTTTTTTGTTGTATTAACTAACCATTGTCTTTTTGGATGTTGGAGAGTATTGAGTAATGTAGTTGTGTTGGACGAGCTGGATAATGAATTTTGTTGAACATTGTCATTGCAGATTCTTGTCTCAAATTTGAATCAAATCTTTGTTTGAAACATTTTTTGGTAACTCCTAAGTTTGTGTGTTCTTGGTGTTCATTTATTGTTCTTTGTATGATAGTGGTATTAAACAGCTGAAAATAATGAAGTGAAAAGGGAATTTGAAGCTCTAACATTTGGTGATTAAAGCATATATATTGTTTTATTTTGTTGTTCGGTTTAATGTCACCAAAGTTTCGAGGTTTACCTCGGAAAGTCGACAAATCAATACAATTGAGAGGGAACGGTTGTCTGTTCTTTGAATGGACTTCTTTCGTTCGAGAAATTTTATATTTGGGATTTCAAATTTTTTAAGAAGAGGATTTGAAGATATCATTTTCATATTTGGATTCAAAGAAAATTAAATGTTTCTCAATAACAAAAATGATACACTTATAGATGCTACATTGTCCGGTATCTGTCTCTAATAACATTTGTAAAAGTCCACCCAGTTTGCTATCAGTCACATAGTTTTGAACTGTGTCCGTTAAGAAGAGATTTTCACAAGGTTATAAATAATATTTTATTCTTTTCTCTATCCGACGTGGGATCTTACGTACGTACGAGAATCAAATAGTAAACCATCAAAATTAATAATTAAGAAAAATAATTTGAAAAAAAGAAAATAAATAAGAAATAAAAGAATTGTTATCCATAACTTTTGTGGTAGTGATGCATGGGGTGGAGAAGAAGGGGATGGATTTTTTGCATCCAATCATTTTGCTCCAAGAAACTTATCATTAGGATAATTGTCCTTCTCAACTTTTTATTTATTAAAGAAAAAAAAGGGTAATTTTCACTAACAAATAGTGTTCATAATAAACTCGTTCATTTAAAATATACGTCTTGTATCGATCCATGTCTCATATTCAGAATTCAGATTCTAAAATCTGTGTCTTCCAGTATTTTTCTGCGACATGGTCACATTATGAGACGGTAATATATAACGGGCAAAAGCAGACAATATCTATTAGTGGTAGGTTTGAGTTGTTACAAATGATATCAAAGTCGAATACCGGGCGGTGTGCCAAAGAGGATACAGGATCATCAAAGGAGGTGAACAATACGTAACGGACAAAAGCGGACTTCTAAGAAGCTTGAAAGAGGCCATAAATTATCATATTGAATTGATAGGGCCAAATTAATCATGGGCTTACAATGATCAAATGGCCACAGGCAATACTAAAAATTAATATGTTTTTGTCTCATTAACAACTTAAAAAATAATAATAAATAATTTTTATATATTATTAATAATAAATATAAATGACAAGAATTAAATACGAGATTATATTGAGTTTTGGCTTGGTATCAGGTTACACACGTCGAAAAGTATACATATTTGAGTTTACAACTCGTGCTAAGACGTTATTTGATAATGGGTACTCGTAAATGTTGCATGATCTATCATTTTCTAAACAAATAACAAACAATGTATCCCACATAAAAACCACTTTTGAAATAGTTGATGAAATTTGGTAATGAGCACTTTTTTCACATTTTCGAAAATGCTCGTTCCTTTGTCATCCTTTAGTGAAACTGAGAGACAAGTGATCCTCTCACTATCGGTTTAATAGTTTCTCTCCTTCGCCTCGTAAACTCGGGCTTACAACTTCTTTTCTCTTGTACTAGGTAAAGGTCTTTGTAATGCTCAAACGCCCATATTAGTTAAGAACTGATTTGTCTCACGACATTCTACCCTTGGAATATACAACCCTAGGCGACGAAGAACCGACATGAGAGAATGAGTTGAAATAACAGAAACGGTAATTTTATGTTTAAGTCAAAGCAAGAAAGACCTAGCGGGAATTTTTTAAATACATAAATTATTTTTTTTTTTTTAAAAATGAATAGATTTTTTTACAAAAAAAAAAAAAAAAAAAAAAAAAAAAAAAAAAAAAAAAAAAAAAAAAAAAAAAAAAAAAA